AGCGGATAGCTCGCCACACAATGCATGAACTTGTGAGGTGTATATTTTCACACCTTTCAAATGTTGACAACACAGAACATGCCTTGGTTAACAGAATTGGCACTGCTAAACAAGAGGTTATTCTTTGTTCTATTTCCTCTCCATTTTCATTTTTTTTTGGCATCAACCTCTTCTTTCTCTTGTTTTCTATGCCTGCTGGAAGTAGTAGAAAAGAAAACATGCGAGAGCCAAATTGATATTTCCTTCAGTTATGTTTAATTTTTATGGTTATGATTTTCATCAGTACTTCATGTCATCTATTTAGGTTGAGCTTTTTAAGACTGAAAATAAAGTATTCTTTGAATTAACTTTCTTTAGTGAATCTTTGATAGTCAGGCAACATGTATTATTCACGTATGTGTGTCTATGTTTTTGAAGCTTCATAATTGCTAGATGTTTTTATTAGTGACATATGATGAAGGTGTGCTAGGACCCCATTCTTCAGTTTGATATAATGAGGTGAATGGCACTATTGATATGTTCTTTGGTAGCACAGATAAGGTTTTTTTTTTTTTTAATATTTATTTATGGGTTGGGAAGGGGGAGGGGGTTGATGGTAGTAAATTGAGTTACTTAGTTGTGTGGAATAATAAACAAAACTGAGAAATCTAGAGTTTTCTGCTTTGCAGCTTGGTGGGATAGATAAAGATTATGCATTTGGAGCTAAACGACCAGAGAATGGAAATGGCTCTGAGTATGATGATCAAGTATCTTCTGGAAGTTTTGCATCCAATGGTTCTACAGGTTTGGTAGCAACTGTGAGGGAAGAAAGTATAGTAGTTGCTGGTAGTGGAAAGGAGACACTTCCATATGATTTGCACCTCATGACAGAGCTGTATGGTGTCCCTTGCATGGTGGAGATATTTCATTTCTTGTGTTCTTTACTAAATGCTGTTGAGCACGTGGGAATGGGGCCCCACACAAATACCCTAGCATTTGATGAAGATGTGCCACTTTTTGCCTTGGGCCTAATTAACTCTGCCATAGAATTGGGTGGCCCTTCCTTCCGTCGTCACCCAAGGTTATTGAGCTTGATTCAGGATGAATTATTTCGTAATCTGATGCAATTTGGCTTGTCAATGAGTCCACTTATTCTTTCAATGGTATGTAGCATTGTTCTAAATCTTTATCACCATCTGCGTACAGAACTCAAATTACAGCTTGAGGCTTTCTTTTCTTGTGTAATTCTGAGGCTTGCACAAGGCAAATATGGAGCTTCATACCAGCAGCAGGAGGTGGCCATGGAAGCCCTTGTTGACTTCTGTAGGCAGAAAACATTTATGGTGGAGATGTATGCTAATTTAGATTGTGACATAACTTGTCGCAATGTGTTTGAAGAACTTGCTAATTTGTTGTCAAAGAGTGCATTCCCTGTGAACTGCCCTTTGTCTGCAATGCACATTCTTGCCTTGGATGGTTTAATTGCTGTTATCCAGGGAATGGCTGAGAGGATTGGGAATGGATTGGTTAGTTCAGAGCAGGCACCAGTTAGTCTTGAGGAATATACACCATTCTGGATGGTGAAGTGTGATAACTATGGTGATCCCAGTCATTGGGTTCCATTTGTCCGGCGGAGAAAATACATCAAGAGAAGGTTGATGATTGGAGCTGATCACTTTAACCGCGATCCAAAGAAAGGGTTAGAGTTCCTCCAAGGAACACATCTTTTGCCTGACAAACTTGACCCCCAAAGTGTGGCCTGCTTTTTCAGGTACACTGCTGGATTAGATAAGAATCTTGTTGGGGATTTCCTGGGAAATCATGATGAGTTCTGTGTTCAGGTTCTTCATGAATTTGCTGGAACTTTTGATTTCCAAGATATGAATCTGGATACTGCACTAAGACTGTTTCTGGAAACTTTTCGATTGCCTGGAGAATCACAAAAGATACAAAGGGTGCTGGAGGCATTCTCTGAGAGGTACTATGAGCAATCACCGCAGATTCTAGCTAACAAGGATGCTGCTCTGTTATTATCATATTCACTTATAATGCTTAACACTGATCAGCACAATGTCCAAGTAAAGAAAAAGATGACAGAGGAGGATTTCATCCGGAATAATCGGCATATTAATGGAGGCAATGATCTTCCTCGAGAATTTCTGTCAGAACTATACCAGTCAATTTGCAAGAATGAGATCCGCACAACTCCAGAACAAGGCTTTGGTTACCCTGAAATGACCCCAAGTCGGTGGATAGATTTGTTGCACAAGTCTAAGAAAACAGCACCATACATTGTAGCTGATTCTAGAGCCTACCTTGACCATGATATGTTTGCCATAATGTCAGGTCCTACAATTGCTGCTATCTCTGTTGTCTTTGATCATGCTGAACTTGAAGAAGTTTACCAGACCTGTATTGATGGATTCTTAGCTGTTGCAAAAATTTCAGCCTGCCATCATCTTGAAGATGTACTGGATGACCTAGTTGTCTCTCTCTGCAAATTTACCACCCTTCTGAATCCGTCATCTGTTGAGGAACCGGTGTTAGCTTTTGGTGACGACACCAAAGCCAGGATGGCAACTGTAACTGTTTTTACGATTGCGAATAGATATGGTGATTATATTCGCACAGGTTGGAGGAACATACTGGATTGCATCTTACGACTGCACAAGCTGGGGCTTCTTCCAGCTCGTGTTGCCAGTGATGCAGCCGATGAGTCAGAGCTGTCTGTGGACCCTGGTCATGGAAAGCCAATTACAAATTCTTTATCTTCAGCTCACATACAGTCTATAGGAACCCCGAGGAGATCCTCTGGATTGATGGGCCGGTTCAGTCAGCTTTTATCTCTTGATACAGAGGAGCCAAGATCACAGCCCACTGAACAACAACTTGCTGCTCATCAACGTACCCTTCAGACAATTCAAAAATGCCACATTGACAGCATATTTACTGAAAGTAAGTTTTTGCAAGCTGAATCTTTGTTGCAGCTAGAAAGAGCACTGATTTGGGCTGCTGGGCGGCCTCAGAAAGGGAGTAGCTCACCTGAGGATGAAGATACTGCAGTTTTCTGCCTGGAGTTGCTTATTGCAATTACCCTGAACAATCGTGATAGGATTGTGCTTCTGTGGCAGGGTGTTTACGAGCACATAGCGAATATTGTTCAATCAACTGTTATGCCTTGTGCCCTGGTAGAGAAGGCTGTTTTTGGGCTTCTTCGAATTTGCCAACGGCTGCTTCCTTACAAAGAGAACCTGGCTGATGAACTTTTGAGGTCCCTGCAACTTGTTTTGAAGCTTGATGCTCGAGTGGCTGATGCATACTGTGAGCAAATTACACAGGAAGTAAGTCGCCTAGTGAAGGCAAATGCTACCCATATTAGATCCCAAATGGGGTGGCGAACAATCACATCTTTACTTTCCATTACAGCCCGGCATCCAGAAGCATCTGAAGCAGGTTTTGATGCACTGTTTTTTATTATGTCTGATGGGGCTCACTTGCTTCCAGCCAATTATGTTCTCTGCTTAGATGCTGCGAGGCAGTTTGCTGAGTCTCGTGTTGGGCAGGCAGAGCGATCTGTGCGTGCATTGGATCTTATGTCAGGTTCTGTTGACTGTTTGGCAAGGTGGGCCCTTGGGGCTAAGGAAGCAATGGGAGAGGAGGATGCTGCTAAGATGTTTCAGGATATTGGTGATTTGTGGCTGAGACTTGTGCAGGGACTGAGAAAAGTGTGCTTGGACCAGAGAGAAGAGGTCAGAAACCATGCTCTTCTATCATTGCAGAAGTGCTTGACAGGAGTGGATGGGATCCACATTTCTCATGGTTTATGGTTGCAATGTTTCGATCTTGTAATCTTCACAATGCTTGATGACTTGCTTGAAATTGCTCAGGGACACCAAAAAGAATACCGAAACATGGAAGGCACACTTATTCATGCCATGAAGCTTCTTTCCAAAATGTTTTTACAATTACTCCATGAGCTCTCACAGTTAACTACATTCTGCAAACTATGGCTTGGTGTCCTCAGCCGAATGGAAAAATATATGAAGGTAAAAGTCAGAGGTAAGAAAAGTGAGAAGCTTCAGGAGCTAGTGCTTGAGCTCCTTAAGAACATCTTGCTTGTAATGAAGACAAGGGGAGTACTCATGCAGAGGAGTGCGCTAGGTGGAGATAGTTTGTGGGAACTGACATGGCTACATGTGAATAACATTGCGCCATCTTTGCAGTCTGAGATTTTCCCTGATCAGGATCCAGAGCAATCATTGCTTAAGCATGGCGAAACTGGTAGTGTAGTGTCTGGAGAAACGGTTTCTGTTCCTTCAAATGAAATGCCCACCCCTGAAGGGGCTGGTGCAGGAGGTTAACATTGTGTACAGTTCGATGCTTGAAAAGGGTTTGTCATTGCATGCCTTAGATTCACACGTGCAATAAGTTGCTATTTTTGGAGGTGATCTGCATTGAGATTCGCAACATCCTAGTATTGTTTGGAGGTGCTGGATGCAAAATGGTGAAAGGGATGGCAAACTAGTAGAGGGAGCCTTTACTAGAAATGTGGATAAGTTGATCAGTTTATACTTCCCTGTTATTCTAGATTTGGCTAGTGTTCCTTCTCATTGCTGCCCCTATGGAACCTCGCCAATGTGCTGTTTTAAAAATCAGTATTCCTTAAGAGATGTTGCGTAGTTCTTAGTCTGTAAACAGTGTTTCTGCAGTGAGAAGGATTCATCCAATTCATTTCAATGAGTTGGAAAATCTGGATGGGAAAAATCTGAATTGTCTCCGGGATGTAACCCTATATATTGCCTTTGCTCATTGATGTATAGAATTAGAAGATTTTACTTGGAATGGTAATGAAGCATTTTCTTCTCACTTAGCTTTGCTATATCACCGAATTTTCCCGAAAATGCAACCATGGTAAAGTTGGACATAGTTGTTATGATTGGATACCAAATGCTATCTGAAGGAATCTTCTTAGTTATCTTTCTGGATGATCACCCCATTAAAAAGATTTTTGATAATTCAATCTTTAATGCAGGAAAAAGAGTTGAAAGGTTCCATGTTTCAACTTTTACTGAATGTCCCATTTGAGGTTCAATCTTCCTTGTTTCCCTATTTACATGCTTTGTTTGAACTTCTCTCTAATTATATCGGTTTTAGAAATTACTTTTACATAAAAGTACTTTTATGTAAATCCATTGAGGTGAAGCTCTTAGTCTCACATATATTATTGCATTCAAGGCCGAGCCATCTTATGGCGAAAGCATTATCACCATTGAAGATGATGAGTGGAGTGACTCTTACAGAACCTGTTGAAAATTTGGGCTTGATTGGCTACAATTAAGATTTGGACCGAACCTATTTGATAATATTAATGATATTGCTTGTTTTCTAGTTTTTGGAGCCCATTTGAGAGAAACAAGATTCTCGGATTCGAGTCTCGGATTATGTTTGACTTTCCCCAAGTCCCAACACCTGCAGCTGGAACCACCTTGTAAGAGAAAAAATCTGCCACATTCGTCAGTTAAGGAGACAGAGAGATTCACAAAGCCAACTTCCCTTCTCCTTTGGATTCCGTCTTGAACGCCATTGGATTCGGACGAGTTACCCTGAAAGTCTCTTAGACTGAAAGAAACCCACAGCCAAAAAAACCCATGGATTCCCTGTCGTCAGTCTCTCCATATATAGTTCTTCCTCCAAGCAACCTTTTGCCCACGCAACGGCATGGTCTTCAAGTCGCTGTCTTTTCCTTCGCCACGAATAGCCGTCTTCCTCGCTTGTCGTCTTCTTCTAAAGGGAGATTGAGTCGAGTTGTAGATTGTAAATGCAAATTTAACGGTGGGGAAGCGAGAGCAGATCATGATGGTAATGATGATGATGATGATGATATTGTTGTTGATGATGAGAAAGAGGAGGTTGAAAGGGCGCTTCATTTGGACGGTACGATTCCAACTACTTCCGGCGAGTTTCTAAAACGGGTTTCGTCTCGGGCGTATGATATGCGGAGGCATTTGCAGCAAACTTTTGATAGTAGCAGCTATGATGGTAAAAACTATTCTTTCTTTATATTCTGTTTGTACTGCATATTTTGGGTTTTTTTAATTCATTTTTCTACTTTCTACCGTTAATTGCTTGCAATTTGAATTCTATCTTGAAGTTGTTGGAAGTGGTAACTTTAGCCTTTAGGCAGAGCCTTTTATTATGTTGAATTGCGAGTCCATTGCCTGGAATGTTTGCTCGGATAATACTTTGTTAGCTAATGAGAAGTGTGGTTGGCTCGATCCTGTTATTTCTAGTAGATTTTCTTTGAAATGGTCCATTTCTACTCCATGTATTTGTATTTATAATTGAAACTGAAACCTCAAAGTTGGGGCACCGACCGTTCTGCTCTCTTCCCAATTTCCAGGATTTTTATTTGGTGGCTTTTGTGGATTCAACTTGTTGACAATTCGATATCCTTTAGTATACGTGAAAGATCTGTGTCCTGTTGTTTTCCCTCCAAATATTGATCAGAAATTTGTTGAACTTGTACCCGACTACATCATGTGTTCATAAATGATCTTTACTAATGATCACTTCCATAGAATTAACCAATCATGCTAGCAACATAATATTGACCCTTTATCTGACATATCTAGAGATGAGTTTCTGTAAGTACTTGGTGTGCAATACTGGAATTTATTGATGCATATTTCTAGTGTGGGTAATAGTTGTAAATTAATTTGGCAACTTGTGTTGTTTCTTCTTGGCTCCATAGTTTGTTGATTATATAGTACCAAATCTTTTATTTTGTTTTCTTTCACAAAGCTTCATTGCTTTTCCGAATTTAATCTTGTTCAGTGCTGGAGGCAAATCCATGGAGAGATCCTTCAAAACCTGTATATGTACTAACTCACAAGGAAAACCAGTTGTGCACAATGAAGACTCGAAGAAACCGCAGGTCGAGTTTAGTTTTGAAACCTGTATAGTATTTTCTTGAATTATTTGTATGGTTGCCCTGCCTCACATTCTTTTTGTGTAGCAGTGAAGTTGAAAGGGAACTTGGATTATTGTTTTCTAAAGGAGCAAAGTGGAGTTCTGGAATTGGAAACAAAACTAAACAGCCTAGATCTGGTTTCAAGTTTCAGATGCTTGTGGAGGATGTTAGGGAAGGAGTGCTTGTAAGTGTTTAATAATTTTTTTTTTTTGTATAACTGTTTGGATATTTTTCAATGTTTGGTGTGTGGTGTCAATTGTCAAAAGGAAATTAGGGGACTTCAAATATGAATCAAATTCTGGCCTCCAAGACTTGATATTCTCATCATGCTCTTTGCATGGTTAAAATTTAGTACTTTATGCCATATGGTATGCCTCCATTTCCCCTGCTACCAAGGCACTGGTAACTTCTCAGAGTTTCATCGTGCATGCAGTTTTCCCAATGTAAATAGTTCAAGCTGGCATTTTTACCTTATGGTATTCACTTTTTTTCTGTTGTTTTATCGCAAGTGTTTTTCGGATTCATCTCTGGTTATTATCTTGAAGACCTTCAACTCTTGTCCCATAGGTATTTGAAGACGAGAGTGAAGCAGCAAAATATTGTGACTTAATGCAGGGAGGAGGCCAAGGATGTGAAGGTGTTGCAGAAATTGAAGCCTCATCAGTAAGATTGACACTGAACCGTCTTCCCTCCTGTACCACTAAATAGTTTTTTTTTTTTTTAATAGTTACGTCACTGCTATTTCTGAAGGTATTTGATCTTTGCCGGAAGATGAGGGCTCTGGCGTTCCTCTTCCGCCGGGGGAGAACACCTCCTCTACCTAGTCTCGAGCTCAACTTGAGAGCCCGTAAGCGATCCCTTGAAGACCACGAGGACTTGATATGAAGTCAGTCAAGAGTAAATGTATGAGAAACTGTGATATCAAGCCAAAGATCAAAACCATACAGGAATATCATATTATAAGTTAAGCATTTGATTCTACCTAAAGTTTATGTATGTTTCGTTCATAAAGCAAGTTAAAAGAAAAATTGATTCGATATTTTATAAATATATATAAAATATAAAAATTATTGTATCATAATTTTTATTAATGGATAAATTAATCACTAATAAATGCTAAGGATAAAATCAGGATTTTTGCCCACACTTTTGACTCAAGCATCATTCAAACTTATTTACTGAGAATTGTCCACTTGTCATATAAAACGACCCCCGAAAATGCTGAAAACGGTTTTCTTTTTTTTTTTTTAAGTCTAGAAATAGATTAAAGAAAGCACATCTTAAAGTCAAAGTCAGAACAAGTCGAACACAAAAGGGAGTAAGAAGCCTATAGATATGCCGACGCCGCCGCACCGCCTCAAGGGGTAACTCCCTCCCCTCATCGTCTTCCCCAGTGGTATTCCTACAATTTATCAGTTTAGAATAAATCTTTCTTTTATTTTTTCCTTTTAATAAAAACTAAAAGGAGGAAAAATAGAATTTCTACAGTACAAAGAAATCTGTGGAAAAAGTAAAACAGAGTAACTGATAAAAAAAAAAAAAGCAGATCCGATCAGACCGAACCTGAAAATTTGCCCTCTATCTGATCAGAAGCGAAAAAAAAAGGCGGATCTTTGGCCATGAGCTCAGACGCATGCGGCGGAGAATTGCCGGGGCAGGGATCGAGTGGGAAGGAGAGCTCGACATCGTCGGCGAACAAGCAAAAGGAGAAGGCGAGAGTGAGCAGGACTTCGATGATCTTGTGGCATTCTCATCAGAACGACGCTGCCGCTGTCCGCAAGCTTCTCGAGGAAGACCCGTCTTTGGTCCACGCTAGGGACTACGACAACCGTACGCCTCTCCACGTTGCTTCTCTCCACGGCTGGATCGACGTCGCCAAGTGCCTCCTCGATTATCGCGCCGATGTCAACGCCCAAGATCGCTGGAAGAATACGGTGCCACTTCAATCCCCATTTTGTCTTCATTTTTCTAATTTCACTGTTTTCATGGATTTAATGTAAAATTTGTTGCTTTTTTTTTTTTTTTTTTGTTTAGCCTTTAGCTGATGCAGAGGGAGCTAAGAAACATAACATGATTGAGCTATTAAAATCATATGGTGGATTATCTTACGTAAGTTCAGCTTTTTACTTTGTAATTTTCATATGATTGAGCTATTTACTTAGTCTAAAATTAGAGGAGTTCTTTAAAATGCATGTTCTTTTAATTAAATTTCTTCATTCTAATGAGCCTTAATGACCAGCCTTACCAGTATGGTGGATGATTAGTTGCTGGATATGGCACTTTGACTCTGAACTTTTTGTTATCATATTTGGCCTGAATAATTACGGAGCACTTAGTTATTGGGGCTGACTCGAAATCGTGGACGGCCTTTAACTTTCCATTCAAGTTTCCCCCCTTTTTTTTTTTTTTCCTTAAATCCATCTTAAGAGTTATTTTGTTTGAATTCCTTGAAGAACATCTTAGTATCATTCATTTGAAGTTTGCTAACATTGTCGAAGGTATATCATATTAGAGATGGCTGCTTGTTCAGAATGTTTTATGTGTGTTTCCCTATCCATATTGATGTGACAATGATTTTTTTTTTTGTTTGCAGTAATTCATGAACAATTTCCTTGAAAAGTGAAAGACACATTGATTTTAGCTCTTAATGCTTGTTCATTATCTCTTCTGATCTGATTGATACTGGAGATAGTTAAACAAGTTTAATTGATGGAAACCCTTTAAGACCTTTTGACTTTTGCATTTTAACTGATTTTATGGGCTAAAAGTTAAAGTTTTCATCGTTGCAGGGCCAAAGTGGAAGCCATTTTGAACCAAAGCCAGTTCAACCTCCTCTACCAAACAAGTGTGACTGGGAAATTGACCCTTCTGAGCTGGACTTCTCCAGTTCAAATATCATAGGGAAGGTGTGATTTCAATTTCTTAATATTGCTAACAATGCAGAGCAGAGCTTGCTTGCCATGCATGCCAACTGTTTTAAGTGCAAAACCATATTGGGAAACTTGCTTGTTTCAATTTTTGCATGATGTATCTGTCTTGATTTTAGGCTTTGCTTGGTAAGAAGAATGGAAAAGGAGAAGCCTAAAATTTTTATCTAATGGTTAGGTTTCATAACCACCTTTCAACTTTGAAGCTTAACCATTAAATTTAAACTTTTTCCTTCCTCCCAACAAAGCAAAGCCTTGATTTTTTTATCATAGCAAGGATTTAATGTCTTCTATTGTTGGTGTCAGAAGTGCATGTGATTGTTAGTCAAATCAGAGAATGCTTATCATGGATGTAGATGTGTGGTTTTTGCCAATTAAGAATATAATATTCTCCTATGACTATCTGGCAAGATGGTAACCATTTGATGAAATGGAGATTTAATATGTTGGAATTTGACAACCACCATGGACAAGTACATCAATACTGGCCCTAGTAATGACATGGTCTTTATAAGTATGATCCCATTTCACTGTACTCGGAGATGGCTGAATGTATACATTCTTTTCTGCTTATTAGAAAGATTGATTATTATTAAGTTGATATTTCTGGATATGTTTCTTTGGGCTAATGTAAGTTTGAATTAGTTGTCAAACTTCTATGGGTGGTTTTAGATTGTTGTGTGGCCTTTGATGTGTAAGTTCCATCTGTCAGTTTGGAACTTGAATTCATATATAAACTGCTTAAATTATGGTTGTCAGAAATTCAGCTTGGAAGTACCTGGTCTATTTTCCTTGCTATCTGGAAGATGTGCTTTCACTGATTATATCTCATACTGCCAGGGGTCATTTGGTGAGATTTTAAAGGTTAGTTGGCGAGGAACTCCGGTAGCTGTCAAACGCATTCTTCCATCACTTTCAGATGACAGATTGGTGATGTAAGCCCATTCTTTTTTGAATATATCTCTATAGTTTGTTTCTAAAGCTATATCCCATGAATGTTAGCTTTCTTTGATGTATGTCATATGCTGAAAATTATGTTCTCATTGACATGAATAGCAACTGAAGGAAAAGATATAACTGACATGAACTCACCCAAAAAGGCAAGAAACATTTTTTTAATGACTCATACCTCTCCTTGGTGTAATTAGCTTCAATTTTTGAAAGTTGCTTCCTCATTTTACGGGGTTAATCTGATGCTTGGTGTAGCTATGATTAGGTTCCTCCCTCTCCAAATTTTTATTGTATTAAAAAATGCAATTCTTTGTGTGTTCTGCTGTGCTGCTTCAGTCAGGATTTCCGGCATGAAGTGAATTTGCTTGTAAAGCTCCGCCATCCTAATATAGTTCAATTTCTTGGAGCTGTCACTGAGAAGAAGCCTCTTATGTTAATTACTGAGTATTTGAGAGGGGTATGTGAATGCACATATCTGTCTCATTCCCAATAGTTTAGTTCTCTCTGTAGAATAATCTATTAGAAAACTTAAACTTTAATTACCCTTTCTTAATCTTATCATTATATGCTATTGCAGGGTGATCTTCATCAGTATCTCAAGGAAAAGAGTGCACTTCATCCATCAACAGCCATCAACTTTGCATTGGACATTGCTAGGTATATAAGAAAGCTTCTGTTTTAAGTTGTATAGTTGGTGCAGCTCTATTTCTCACGCTCTTGGCATCTAAGTAGAACTTGGAGAAAAAGAGTGTGAAAAATGTAGAAGCATACCATAAATCATGTTGCTTTTCTTAATTAAGATAAAATCATTAATTTTCTTTAGTTTTGAACTACAACTTCCTTTCTTTTGACAGGGAGCTACACTACAGAAAATGTATTGGCCATGTAACTGCATTTAATTTTCTCTTATATGTGTGGCTATTTTACTAATCTGGATTTTATAAATTTTGTGGCCAGGGGCATGGCTTATCTTCACAATGAGCCAAATGTCATAATTCACCGAGACTTAAAACCAAGGTGAGTCAGTTTCAATTTTAGTTTTGCTGTGCAAATAATCATGTTTTTTACTACTAGCTATTGGTTCAAGGCTCTCATTGACTGTGCACTTATGTTGTGGAAATTACTTTCTGAATTTTGAATGCTTAATGAACTTTGGCTATTTTCTGAAAGCACAAAATAATGTCCCCATTTCTCTAGTTGATTTCTTTTCTTTTTTTCCAACCATGATTGATTGCATTAACTTTTTCTTGTTAAAATTCGTTTCTTTTTTTTATCAGGAATGTGCTTTTGGTCAACTCGAGCGCAGACTATTTGAAAGTTGGAGACTTTGGACTGAGCAAGCTCATCAAGGTTCAAAATTCTCATGATGTCTACAAAATGACTGGCGAGACAGGGAGTTGTGAGTGTCTCTTACAGATTTCTTTTGGATAAAATATGATCCTCAGATACTTAACCTTCTTTACCTGGAATTGAAATAGATCGTTATATGGCTCCTGAAGTTTTCAAGCACCGCAAATATGATAAAAAGGTTGATGTTTTCTCTTTTGCAATGATACTTTATGAGGTAAGCTTCTTCCTCTCTTGAAATGATATTGATCATGAAGTATTTCAGACTAGTTCTAGTGCATGATATTCTTACTTGGAGCAGATGCTTGAAGGAGAACCACCATTCTCAAATTATGAGCCTTATGAAGCAGCTAAGTATGTTTCAGAAGGACACCGGCCTATTTTTCATTCAAAATCATACCTCCCTGAACTAAGAGAGTAAGCCATCTCTAAAATTTTCTACCTCACTATAAAGTTTTATGGTTTGTGTTACACCATGTATATGGTCCAACCGTAACTTCAGTTTTAAAATGATAAAGTTTGTTACATAAATTATCATGTCTACATGAAGATTTGCATAGTGTTGGTAATTATTTATAACTAATTCGCATCTTGACACCTGCTACACCTTAATTTTGCCTTGGAGATCCTAACCTTTTAACCCTCCCCACACTGACTTGAAACTCTTGACCTCTCTCGGAGATCATTGAGAAGCCTTCAGGGCATCAACATGTGAACAATGATATTCATGCAAACTAATTTTCATTTCTGGTTTTATGGGTACTCTTTCCTCCACTGCTTCTTATATAAAAAAAATACATTCGGCATCCTCCTAGCCTTCTGGCTTTTCCAATCTTTTAACTGCAAAGTCTCTCTTCAATGATGTTTACTGATTGATGCTAATAAAGTTTCTTAACTGAATTCATCTTATGTTAGAACAAACATTTGGGCTGTTGGACTTTGACATGTGGGGTTGCTGATTGTTTTCTTCTTGAATCTTTCTTAGCTTAACAGAGAAGTGCTGGGCTCCTGACATGAACCAAAGGCCTTCTTTCTTGGATATTCTCAAAAGGCTTGAAAAGATCAAGGAAAATATACCAACAGATCATCACTGGAATATATTCAATACATGATCTTCAAGATTTGATGAAATCGATGGTACACATCCTGTTTCCACGATCAACTCCAGCTT